ATGCTGTTGCTAAGGACTTCCAATTGAGATTGTAATTATAAATTAACATTTTATACCACTAAATTACTCATAAACATAGTAAAAGTATACATTTTTAAAATCTACAATGATTCTATTTTTAAAATTTAAAATTAAAAAAAAATTCGAAAATTTTAACATTTTATAGGCTAGTACCACCTTAACATAATGACGAATTTTAGCTAAAATACCATTTGATCTGCTTAACTTCAACGCTAAGTCTTGAAGATGCGATGCAAAAGAAAAATTAGAGTCTATTTTGATTCCAAGATATTTAATAGAGTTAACTGAATTTATTTTTTTCCCACTTAATCTGAAATTTAATTGCTTATTTATTTTTGTTTGAACAGATTTAAATACAATAATTTCCGTTTTTTTAGTTAAGAGATAATTTATTGGAGCGGAGCCATTGAACAACATTAGCTAGATCGTGATTCATATTTTTGTTAAGTTTTTGTAGTAATTTGTTAATTAGGAGTAAGTTATTGTCATCCACAAAGTGATAAGCAGTAGAAAATTTAGGAGAAACATTTAAATCATTGATAAAAATAAGAAAAAGTAATGGACCTAAAACCGAGCCTTGTGGAACACCATTAAAATGTTTAGCTTGTCCTAAGTTGATACCATTAGTTGAAACAAATTGTGTTCTATTACAAAGATAAGAGGAAAACCAGAGAAAAGGAATACCTCTTATACCGAAGTGTTTCCGTTTTTCTAGGAGGATTGTGTGCTCAATTATATCAAATGCTTTTCTTATGTCAATAAACACTCTACGCGCAAAGTGTTTATTATCGATGGCTTTTCTAATTTTCTCTGTAATTTCTATTAACGAATGAGTTGTTGAGTGTTTGTTGCAAAAACTATACTGGTGTATGTAAATAAACTAATGCTTTTCAAAAAAATGGTCGAGTCTTTGGAACATTGCTTTTTCAAACAGTTTACTTAAGTTAGAAAGAAGTAAAGTAGGTCGATAATTTGAGTAGTCTAGATAAGAACCCATTTTATGTATAGGAATTACTTTGGATACCTTACAAGCTTCTGGAAAAATACCATTTTTGAAAGAATTATTCATCATAGTACATAGAGGTTTGGAGATTATGTGAGATACCAGCTTTAGTAGAAATGTTGGCAGACTATTGGGACCAAGGCTTTTATTATTTTTATGAGTTTCAGTCACGAGATCAATGAAAAAAGAATTAGTACTAGGTATTTTAAGAAAGTTGACAAAAACACATTTAGAGGGAACAGTATATTTAAGTAGTTCATATTGAATAGTCGCAAAATAATTATTAAATATATTAGCAACACTGGTATGATCTGAGATGACATTTTCATTGATTTTGAGATTAAAAGATTAAGTACAAGTAGAAGGTTTGATGTTTATAATTTCCTTAATTCCTTTCCAGGTATTCTTTACATTATTGATGTTGTTATTGAAAAAAGATGCATTTTACAATACAATTTTTTAGAATATCTTAACAAATTGCTAATTTTATTTCTATATAACTTAAATTTTGCAAATAACATATTTTTGGTATTTACATTTTTTTAGTAAATTTTTTATAAAGTATGTTTTTATTAGAAATAGATTTAAGAATGCAAGAAGTTATCCTGAAATTTAATTTGCTTTTTTGTTAATTCTTTGTATGGAGCATATCGGTCTAATATTTTTTCAAATTTTTAAGGAAAAAATTTATAGATTCATTTATGTTATGATTTTCTTTTATAAAAAGTTCCCAGTTAATTTCAGAAACTTCTTGGATAAAAGAATCAGAATCAATTTTTTTAAAGCTTCTTTTAAACGTTTTTACTTTTTTTTAATGAATAGGTTATTAGGAATACAGACAAATTGTGCCATCTGGTCAGAGATTGAAATTGTAAGATTACCAGAGACTGTATCAGTAGTAAATGAATTCATGAAGATGTTATCAATAAGAGTTCTATGGTTTTCTAAATTAATTTTTTTGATGATGTTTTTTTAGAAAAGCAGATGTTGTATGACACCTGTTTACCACCCCAAAAGCATTTTTGAAAACATTTTCCCATATATACAATGTACTGTAATATTTCAATAGGGTAGATTAGGTTAATTTGAGATTAAATAGATTTCAAAGTGTAAGCAGTGAGATTAAAGTTGCTTTGTATTTTTTGAATTGAATTTATATGGTGATAACAGGAATTAGTTTAATTAGCGTAAATTTATATGCAGAAATTAGCGGCTTTCAATTAAAACGATATTAAATCTTTGGGGTTGTTAAAATATTATCATCACGCATGAACAAATCTGTGGTGCAAAATTTTGATGGTAAATATTGAAATTTAATTTTTCATAAAAAAAAATGTTTACTTGAAATCCGTTCTACTTTTCTTTTTTTTTTTTTGAAAAACAATCCATAGAAACATTCAGTTTTAACTTTGTTCATAGATACCATTTTGTGTAATATGAGCATACTGAGATTACCAAGCGTTTTTTTTTTCTAGTTTGAACCTACGGATCTTACGTTTCTGAGGCAAGTGCGCTACTACTGCGCCACGGCTGCTCTTTTTTATTGAAATTAGCTAGTTTAAAGTCCCAAAATTGCAGTGGTTTTAATTACTTTTTGAATAAAGACAAAAAATTGTAAATGTTTTTATATTTTAACAATACTAAATATCTTTCTTTAATTTAAGTTTAAAAAATTTATAATTGTATTATTTAAAGGTTTGAGTTAATAAAATTGAAAAAAACAACAAACATATTTTTTTTTTGCGTAAAACAAAGTAGTATCGTATCAATAAAAAGTGGCTTAAAATTTGATGTTTTAATGATAAGTTTTGTTATTAATGAATTATTATATTCCACAAATTCGTTTTAAATGTTGATATTTTTTTACTTAATAAGTTTTTTTTTTGTGCTAGCTTAAGTGCCAAGTGGTCTGCGTAATATGAGCATTTTTGCTACTTTTTTAAAACCTCTGTTTTTATGAAAAAAATTCAGGTGCTCAAATATCTACGTGGATCATGAGTAGTGAACCCTATAAACTGTTGATTTGTATCCCTATAAACTGTTGATTTGGATCCAGCATACTTATTTTTGAAAATGTTACAATTTTTGCTTATGGTGCTTATATTACCCTAATCTACCCTATTTGTTTTTTATTGTGTAATGTCTGGCCAACTTTAGCTTTTACTATTTCGTGTATCAGTGTGTCTTTTACATCTTTTCCATTTTACTTATTTTCACATTTTTCTGAACTTGTTCTGCTGCATACACTAACATAAACACGTGCAAACTGACTTCTAGTTAAAACGCCTAAAAAAGTAATATTTCGTAATACATACAAATAGAAGTTCTGTAGAAACAAATTATTTTGGAGTTCATGAGGTTACAAATTTTCTTTTTAATCGTCTAATTTTTCTTTATTAAATTTAAATATGAGAAGCATGATCAAAAACTTTGAAAACTTGAAGAGAATGAGGTGAGTCATTTAAAAAACAGCTAAAAGTTTAATTTTGCGTTAAAAATAAAAAAATAATACTAAAAATAAATAAAAAATTTTCAAATTCTCAATTTTTTTAAAATTTTATTGGTCAACAACAAAACAACAAAAAAGTTATTTGTTTTCTGCAATTTTTTTTATTTCAAGTATTTTTCAAATATGGCAAACTTTTTCTCGAAAAGCTTTTTGAGTTATAGGTACCCTCCCTCCCTCCCTTTGAGTTATAGGTACCCAATACCCTTGAATTTTCGTTACTTTTTGGACAATAATTTTCTTGTTGCTTGAGATATCGCTTTATCAAGATGTTACGTGCATAATTTGTTTTTGCAATATTTGTGGCAAATACATATTTGAAAAATATTGAAAACTTATATCAGATTGTGTAAAACTGGGTTTTATCAACACTTTAAAATTAAATTACGCAATAAGAGAAAGCCTTAAGTTCCTCATAATATATGCAAAAAATGGGTTATTTGTCTATGGTCATGGTCCAGAGAAGAAAAAGATACAGTTTGTAATATTTATTGTTTTGCGAGAGCCCCGAAACCACCATAATGACTGCTAATTTTGGTTAACAAAACTATCAAATAAGCGGTTAGCGTCTTTTTAAATACAGCAGCAAAAAAAGTTTAAAGTGTGTTTTGTTTTATAACAATATCAACTACGGATCCATACATATTTTACATTCAACGAATTTGAAAGTAGAATACACAAATGTTTGCAAGGTTATCAAAAAAAATGTCAAAGTAAAAATGTAAAAAAAGTAATAAGACCATAACTGGGTAAATAGTGTTGATTTATAAATAATTAACTTTTCTTGTTTTATTTGTCGGTGGCTCAATCGTGACAATTGTTTACAAAAAGTTTGGTTTGTAGTGCAGTGCAGGAAGAGCTAAAAATTAGTACAAAAAACGTTTTAAAACGTGTCTTTAGTTAGCAGAAACCGCATCATCCCGCCACTTCATAAACGCAATACTGTTTTAAAAATCAAGTTCGCAAAAGTGGAAATATTTGTTGGAAAAGCAGACAGGGGAGGGGGAGAGGGGTTAGTGTATTTGTTACGACTCGTTTGAGACATGTTACTAAAGAGTAAAGATGTTGCGACGAGGGGTGAGAAAGGGGTCAAAAATGGTCGAAAATTGCATTATGTCATATTTATGGACGACCCCTTATTGATGTTTCGTAAAACTAAAAACCTGTCTTTATCTTTTTATTTTTCTTCTCTATATCGCAAATACAAGTGTGCGGACCGCGTCAAACATTATGGCTAGAGTGTTTAAATTATTTTCGAGTGATAAAAAATCAGTATCTTTTTAAAAATTCACATTTATAATAACTTTAGTTTAATAGTTATTTTAATGCTAATATAAACCAGAAACCGTTTAATTAAATCATTAATTGCAAAATAAACAATCCTCTGCCCAAAGTATTTTTTGGCCTTAAACTGCAATAAACATCAGTTAATTAATGAATAAGAAAATTATAACAATTAACGCCTAAAAATAAAGTTTAAAATTAAACCCTTTCAATGAAAAAGTGTATAAATTTTTTTATTATGTATAAATTTAAAAATTATGTCGTTAATTAACTCTGAGCTGCATTAGATATGGCACGACATCTCTAAATGTAATCTAACATCTTTAAAATGTAATTTTGAATGCATTCTGTAAATGCATTCTGAATGCTCTCAAAATAGATAAGTTTTAATCTAAATGCAAGTGTAATAAGTTTTTGTCAGCATACACAGATATAGCAGTTCCCGCTACTGCAAAAAACGTACTCGATATTCCAGGACCATAGACACTTATTTCTTGTACATAGCCTCCAATAACTGGAGCTAAAGCCCTGGCAAAAGACGATAACGTATCTGCTGTCCCATTCATTAAACCCCGCACTTTTGCGTTACCTCTGGTGAACAACAACGTTGAATTTGTTACTCTTAAAACAGCTGAAGAAATACAAAGTGGTACAAATGAAATCAAAACAAAGCTTAGTGTTGGACCTATTGTTACCCCTAAAAGTGATAATACCAGAATAAAAGAAAATATATTGTGACATTTCATATTACTGCTAAAATGGCAAACAATCCACTGAACCATCATTCCAGTACCAGCACTGATAACTGCATTAAACGATTGAATATACCCAGTGGCGATAGCATCGATTTCGAATCGAAAAACTAAAACACTCGTAAAATTTGATCGATATAATATCATAGAAAAGCTTTGTAGAAATCGCACAACAAATATATCCCAAACTAAATACCAGGGTATATTATTGATATTATAAAAAAGGTTTGTTGAAGATTTTTGAACAGAAAGCTTGTGATCACAGACTCTTTTTTCAGGTATAAAAAGGTAAACTAAAATAGCATTTAATATCAAAAGCAATGAAGACAAAATTGATACTTTAAAAAAACCATCTGTAGTGGAATATAAAATTCCTCCAATGGTTGGTCCGATGATAAACCCTGCACTTGAAATAGAGTTATAAGTTCCAAAAACAGCTGCTAACTCGTTAGATGACGTGATATCAACCAACCACAAACGATTCATGGATTGTCCGTGTTTGAATAAGCCTAAACAAAAACAATAGTATTATATCTAATCTGAAAGAATGAAGTAAAAGTAATTTTATAAAAAAAACCTAACCCGATGGGATGCGAGCTAATACTAAAGTCCAAAATCCAACAGCTTGCCCGATTAAAAAATAACTAATTGCTGTACCAAGTAACGATAATAATAGAATAGTTCGTCTACCAAAACGATCGCTAACCTGTCCCTAAAAATATAAACTTTTAATATATAATAAACCATATAAATAAAGATTAAATTATTTGAAATAGTTTGAAAAGCTCATTCACGACTCTTTTAAGCCAACTTTTTTTTAAGATAAAAATAAATTAGATTTTATTTTTAAAAAACTGTTCAATTATCTGTTCTAATTATTTTACTTTTCTAAATGCTCAAAAAATTAAAAAAATTATCACCATTTACATAAAAATTTATTATAAATAAGAATTTTTAAAAACTCATATTCTAAACTCATTATTTAAAATAAGAATAAAAAAAAATTACAACATCATATAATATATTGCAAATAAAAATACAATAAGGAGTCCTCTGTTAAATCGGTTTCATTGCATACATAATATTAAACTGATTCACTTTGATGTGAAACTATGAATCTTTAAATTTACAGACACTGAAATTATAATTTTTTACTTAACTAACCTTGCTACTTTATCCTTAAAAACATGAACTGATTCAATAAAAATTTCATCGAAAAATATTACTACGTTTAAAAGTTTTAACTTTGTCAACCCTTCGCAAATTTATTATATATTTATATATTTATATAGTATTTTCTAAAATAGCACCATCAGTAAACAATTGCATTCTGGTTATTTTTAGAAAATTTAATTATAAAACTAAAACAGTTTTCTTTGTGTTGTTTTTTTAATTATTAACTAAAAAATTAGTTATTAATTAAAAAAGTGTTTTTTTAAAACAATTACCTGTAAAATAATTAAAGATTCTTTGCAGGTGGAACATCACATAGCAAATGGAGAAGCACGCAATAAATTGAACATCACAGAGGTCCTAAAGAAACCAAGACTTGTTTTGTCTCTGTATTGTGATTTATATTTTTAAAATATTTAAAACAATACAAGTCGATTAAGTTAAAAAACAAAATCAGGTAGTAGTCACTTATGCTTTAAGAATAAGAAAATCTAAACTTAATTTTAAAATTGGTAAAGAAAATACAAACATTTGTATTTGTTCGTCTCTCTTCCCTCCTAAAATAGCATCAAATACTATTTGATATTAACAAACTATTTTTTTTTTATAAAATCACACTGCATTATCATTGATTGTTGCATATATGTTAATATACTTTAAGATTATTATATAAGATATTATATTATTTATAGAAGTAAAAAATTTTTTAATAAGGTGTGCAAGTAACATAACACGAAATATGGAATATAAAGAATACTTCATTTTTTATGAATCAACATTATGGAATATAAAGAATTTTTCATTTCTTATGAATCAACATTAATGTGCATCATATATTATAAATTGGTGACTGTCAATCAGACTAGACACCATTTTTATTTATTATCTGGCAGACATAAAAGTAAAACTGTAACTAAAAACTAAATAAATGCAATCTAAAAATGTATTATTAAAAATATAGTATAACAAATTCATTATATAAAACAAATTATAATATAGAACGCATCACAGGACTCAAAATAAGTGTTGTTGCCTTTCTTACTTAGGAGACCAGTAATTATGCCAAGCAGATAACTAATAGTTAGTTTCCTCATTAGTTTTGTAAACACGGTAAAAACTAAATGTCAACTAACATTAAACTGTTGTGCTAAACAAAATTATAAAAAACTAAGAAAAAAAAAAAATAATGCAAGAAAAAACAAGACAAATGAAAAAAAGGTACATAAAGTCTAGGCAAACACACACTGACAACAAAATTAATATTTCTGTTCCAGATTAATAGAAAGCAACTCCTTCTTTTAAGCTAGATTGTAACATAATGACATACAGCTCAACATGTGTTGATAGAGCAAACTTATTAAATGTAATTTTATCACTTTACTCACCAAAATCAATAAAACTTTCATCAAAACCTGCAAATCATTGCCTTTAATCAAAATCATTGCAAATCATAACCTTTCATTTCAAAAGCTGTAGGTAAAAATATTGCTTCTGATGAGTTTGACATTTGAAAAGTACACTACATATTAATAAAAGAAGGTTATGGGAATAACACAGCTGAAGTTCAATACCATTTAGGTGCCCCAATTTTGTCATGACAGACAAAATTGGGGCACTTAAAAAAATTAAATATTGACATTCTTTGTCAATATTTAATTTTTTTAATTTATAAAAGCAAAACATACAAGTTTTCTAATTGAAAATCAAGGAACTTTTTCTCTCTTTCATATTTTTCTTAGAATGAAACTTCTGTGTTATTTAAAATGAAAGATACATCCTGTCAGGAAAACATGAAGGTGGAAGAGAATTTCTAAGAAGAGAAAATACTAAATTTGAATGTTCAATGAAAAAATTAAACAAATAAAAAATTTTTAATGGAGAAAAAGAAACAGTTATAGTAAAATAATGTTACTTTGTTGAATAACAAGCCACTTAAGATTGATTATTGGTTGATGAAGCTAGTGATGATAGCTTGCTTAGGCAGCAAACAAAAAAGCCAGAAGAAGTATCAGAACCGAAGTATCAGTAGAACAATCAGCCAAAGTATGACACCAGCATTCAATCCAGAGACAAATAAGAGTTTTATAAAAGTTGAGAATCAAATAAAAAATAAAAAAATTGCAAGCATAATAAAAAGAGGCAATCTTAGCAATTGTTAACTTTGTATATATCGTTTCCATGAAAGATCAGCAGTGAAAAATAATCTGAGAAGACATAAAGTAGAAGAGTAATTCATCAATTCATCAAGAGTTGTTATTCATCATAAAGAGTTGTTATCCATCATAAAGAGGAGTTATTCATCATAAAGAGAGTTGTTATTCATTGTAAAGAGAGTTGTTCACAGGTTACAAATAATATTGCTTATCTAATGTTAAAGATTCTAGGATAACATAAAAGTGTTGCATAAAATTAAACGACCAATCAGATTTTTTTATTTGTTCTTTAAATTTTTTCATTAGTGTTTAAACTATCATTAAATATCTAAAATATACAAATGTTAAGTATAAACAGTATTTAAAATAAATTATAATACAACACAATATTAGATAAATATGTTCTACTCAAAAAATAAGTGAAGTAAATTTTTTTTGAAGAGGTTACAACCATCCTTCAACTCTTTAACTCTGAAACACAGAAACACAAACCTTGAATAACAAGGTCACTGTGTGCAATAAACAAGTTGAGCCAGTACTACCAGAGTTGTGGTGGAAATTAAACTTAGAACTTTTCCCTTATGAAGCCAGCGTTCTACCACTACCGCATTTACTAAATTATAATATATAAAAGATTATAATTTATAAAAGATTGTAATATATAAAAGATTATAATATATAAAAGATTATAATATATAAAAGATTATAATACATAAAAGATTATAATATATAAAAGATTATAATATATAAAAGATTATAACATATAAAAGATTATAATATATAAAAAATTATAATATATAAAAGATTATAATATATAAAAGATTATAATATATAAAAGATTATAATATATAAAAGACTATTAGAAGATCTTAATATATAGTCTATTATTAGTAGATTAGTAATTTACTAATAATCTATTAGTATATTACTAGTAGATTTCTAGTAGGTTATAATCATTAGTGATGTACCGATTAATCGGCATTGGCATCAGCCACTTTTTGTACAATCGGAATCGGCATCAGCTGTTTTTACTGATTTTCAAACCGATGGCATTTTAATATTTTTATTGTGCATTATTATTATAATTAAATAATAAACTAAATTTATGCACTACATTTTTTTGGATAAATTTTTATTTTGGATAATTTTTTTATTCTATATAATAAATTTTTTGGATAAATTTTATTTTGACTTTGTTTACAAGCAAAAGCTTTAAAAGTAACCTATTTAAGCATTGTTTTCTATATTTTTTAAATTATTTTTTACTCCCAACAAGGCTGCAAGCAACCACTATCAAATTGGGAGTTGCTAGAATAAAAGAGTAGAGTTATAGAGCACGGTTGAGTAGAATTATAGAGCACAAAGACTTAAAAAGTTAAAGGTTGTATGAGTCAGGAAAACATGGAGATGGGACAGAGTTCCGAAGGGTTGAAGTACTGGGAAATAAGCTAGACAAATAAAAGTTTTTGGAGCATGAAGAGACAGAAAAAGGATGAGCATGAAGAGACAGAAAAAGGATGAGATGTTTTTGGAGCATGAAGATACAGTAAAAGGATGAGACTTTAATGAATGATGAGTCAAGCAAGAATGAGTTTTGGTTGATGGAATAAGAGATGAAAGCTCCATTGAGCAGCAACCATGATAGTATTTGTAGAAAAGAGAAAGAGATACAACTTTACGACGATGGGAAAGAGGCTAAAGCTTAGCAGATAGACTGGATCCAACTCTGTTTATTTCATCAGTATCGCCATCAATATTCATGTTGATTATGTCAAAAACATCAAAATAAGATCATTAACATTATCTTTTATCAGGATTATAAAAATTCCTAGACTAGTCCTTCATTTACAGGGTATGTTGCTTAATAAACTTTGAGTTATTAAGATGCTGATTTTAATGAAATGTAAAACTGAAGAGCCCAAAAAATAAACCTCCCAATTCAAGCGCATTTTATGAAATTCTAATGAAATGCAGCAAAAATAATAAAAAAAATCATAAACTTTATCTCAAGTTAAGTTTCTTAAGTCACAAAAAAGCTTAGCTAACTATTGACAAAAACACTTTTACAAAAAAATTCTTCGCTATATACAGAGTTTAAAAATACAACTTGTGACTCTTGTCAATAATTATTGATCGTTATGCAAAACGTTATAATAATAAAAATATGCAACGTGCCACTTTTGTCAATAATTAGCGAAGCTAATTACTGATGCACATTAAAATTACAACATCTTCCCTAGCTCAACAAGAGCTCATACATAATCGTGATACTTTCGGTTAGAAAATATTCTTCTCCCATAATGAGTGAACCAAGCAGGTTGTAACTCTGTCTTGCAATTTTGTTGGAGAATATATTGCCGTATTGAGCTCATCATCACAGGTGCTA